CTTATTGTCTGGAATTTTGGGCAGATACAATCAATTAGAGGTATACAATTAATACAAAAAAATTCAAGTACATAAAAACTCTCATACCAACAAATAATTGTAAAAAAAAACTACAATCATATCTAGCATGGTTTCTCACATCTAAACAAGACACAGTAGTGCATGAGGAAAATTTTTCATGCCAAATCAGTATTAACAAACATTATAAACTTTTCTTCAGCTGGTATTATCTAATATATGGAACAAAATGAATAAAACTAAATAAGTTGATAAAATGACCGGATTAGCAACTACATATATGGTTAAAAACCATTCACAATCATGCAACATATTTCTAAAAAAACTGAAACTTAGTCAAGTATAATGGAAAGCTCAGCAAATCGCTTTAATATATGTACACTAAAACTTATCACTCAGAAAATGAATAAAGATCAATGACAAAACAGTACCAAGAGGTATAGCTTAATGTATCAAAACCACAATATGCAACAATGCAAGAAAAAAAGAAAGAAAAGAACAGTAAAGTTATACCTGTTTTGGCTGACCATTTCTACCGCCAATGGTTGTGACTATTATATGACCTGTCTCTGTCCCATTACCATCAACAACTGTAGCTTCCATTTCCTACAAATTTACGCCAAACAATGAGTGGCAATGGCTATATTTGGGAATAATTGTTTTTAGTACCCCAAAAAAATTATAAGAGAAAACAAAGAACTAGTGACACATATACCTTTTCATCCCTAATTTTCATGTCATTCATCTCCTCAGGTAGTTTATCAACACCGCCAGTGTGGCCACTAGATTCTCTCAAGCAAGAAGCAGGTGCCACGCCGACTGAAGCCATTTACAGGACATAAAAAGGTGACTTATCTCGTTACTTTTTCAACTAAACAATACCATGCATTTACCTGCAGTAAACTAACAATAGTTAAGACAACTGAAAAAGTTCATATTAAATAGACCACATAACAGTCTAATTTATCTCCACAACATAAGTTCACCAAACTTTAAGCTAATTAACCAATCAATAATCTCAAACTATTAAAATTCCCCCAGATCAATACATTTACCCTCATAAAGTTAATATCCCATAGCACACATTCAAACTTCAAAAATGATCACTCAACAGAGGACTGATTCTCAAGATCCAGCACTAAATTCCAAGAAATATATAAACACCCCTGGTTCAAATACCGGCCAGATGTTTTTCTTATTAATTTACATCAGATTCAGATCTAAAATTGCTGCGTACTTCTTGAACTGAAAACTTAAACTTTTGCCATTCCACCTTCAACCTTTCTCTCTTCTACCTTATTGCTGAAAATCCCTCTTAAACCACTGTATGAGTTAATTAACTTACAACATGATATGCTTTACTAGATTTCAACTTAATCCACACAAGACTTACTCTTACATAACTACACTGTTATATTAGTTGGCTTCGTGATTGACCTACATAGACTCACAATGAGACATAATTATCAATAGAGTCCATCCAACTTGCCTAACTAAATTAACCCAAGTATTGACATGAAAGCAAGAACATAATAATTTTCTTCTTCGAACGTCATATGTCATGAATCTTAAAAACCTACAACCCGATTTGCTAATGAAATAACATAACAGCTTTTATGCACATCCTACCAAAAGCAAGGCCTTTACACCTACCCCAAAAAGCAAAATGCTTCCAAAATTCATATAAAATAACTCAGTCATCAATACATAAAAATAAAAACACTTCTAGCAGAAAATCAACAATATTTACACACATAATCAGCGAAACTCCCATGTTACCCCAAAAACAATCCCATTAAGGTTGCTACTATTAATGGGCTCTCATTATCCATATCCCATTTTGGAACGTCCAACATCATATAAGTAACAATCAATATAAAAACAGCAATAAAAAATAATATTTACATAACATCATTAAAGTAACATATAAAGCATACTTAATTACAGAGCTAGGATCAAACCCACAAAGAAAATTTCATTTATTATGCAAAAACTAAGGAACATAACACAAATTATCAAAACAAAAACGAAACTTTCCAAGATCTAAGAAAAATCAAACCAAACCCTAATTCACAAAATTATGAAAAAAAAAACCCATAAGAATTTCAACCAAATTTGACTCAAAAAGAGAACCCACAGATCCAAATCAACATACCAAAAAAAACCCGATCCGAATCCCAGAAACCCATTTCACGAAACACGAAACAAAACCCAGAAACAAATTTAAAAAATTCAAAAAAATAACAAAACAAGAGAGTTAAAGATTAGATTTTTACCGATCAAAACAGAGAAATTTGGAGATCGAGAAGGGACCCACGAAGCGACGCCGTATTGGAAAGCGGAGGCTCTAGACGATGGCGCAAACGACGGAGAGAGAAACGATATTGTGTGTGTGTATGTTGAAAAGCTATTTGGCTTCTCTGGCTGTTTTTGCTTTTTGCTTTTGTTATGTTTTTTTTTTTTTTTTTTTTTTTTTTTAATTAGGATTGTTTTATTTTTATTATATTTTATTCATGTGTTTGTGGTCTGCTGTGAGCCATGCTGAGCTGGAGAAAAAAAAAACAATTAAATTAAAAAAATAAAATCATGTTAAATAATAAAATATTAATAAAAATTGATAGAATATGGGTTTAGTTGGTACTTGGTTAGGGTATTATTTTTTCTGTTGTTTGACCATTCAAAGTTACTTTTTTGTTTTGAATTTTTTTAGAAAGTGTGAGAAATTAAATATTATTAGTGACCTGGTTTTGAGGATTTATTTAACTTTTTCTTGATTTTTTAACAAATATGTAAATGTTTATATATTTTTTGTTTTTTTGTAACCGGAGTATCCAGATCAGTTTGCATACTTCAACTAATCTCTGAGGTCCATTGAACACCGTACACCTAAAAGACCGAATAAATCATAATATTATTGTGGTAATTGCTTCAGATTTAAACTTAAGATTAAATAAATGAACAAACCCCCTTACAGGCAACCCTTTAGGTTAAATGCTTACGATTTTGTTGTGATATTCTTCATAACTTAGATGGATTTGACAATTTTTATGATTTTCAAGTATAGTTTATTATTTAAAGGGTTGATTCCATGCGACTTTAAAAGATTATTGACTCTTAAACACTCAAAACGATTTCAAAACTCTTAAATACTTTTATCACTTTTTTTTTTATATTTGTTTAAATGGTATTTGATTATTTTGGTATTTAATGTTTCAAGAAAATAATGGACGCTTGAGATTGTATATGAAGGCATAAACTAACTTTTTATTTAGAAGAAAGTAAAAACAATAAATACCAATTATTTTAAATGCTTTCAGCCTTGTTATTGTAACAAATAAACAAAATTGCAATTCATTCACCCATCTCAAAGATTCCAAACAATATGAAAATGTCAAACAAATCAACTAACAAAAGCACTAAAATAAAAGAAAATGGTTAGGTTTGATAAGGGTAAAATCGTCTTTTCAAAAACAAGAAATTCAATTTTGTCAAAAGAGTATCCCAACCATCAAAGTTAAATACTCAAATAGTTGTTGAAATGTTGGATTAAAAAAATGTATGTGTTGGGGTTTGATAAGGGTAAATTGTCTTTTCACAAAGGGATGCTCAATTTTGTCAAAAAGGGTATACCCAAAATCAAAGTGAAATAGTTGAAAATGTTGGATTAAGAATCATGAAGAGTGCAAGTTCCTTAAACTAATAAAATCTTAACATCATCAACAGAGAAAATTTCTAAAGCTAAAGTGAAGGAGACACAAGGCTTTAATAAGTCAACATATTGGAAAAAAATATGCAAGTTTGCCTCTACCAAATCCAAATGGAGAATCAATGGGAGAAGCATAATTAAATCAAACTTTGAAAAGAAACAATTTGTCCAATAGATATGATTAGGGTGGGCAAAATTTTAGGATAGAACCGAACCACAAGTACCCAGATGTCAATTCCGATTCCTACTGTAACCAACCGTAAAAGGATAGTTTGGTTCCAAAATTTAAAATCAATCCTATGCAATTCCGATTGTTCCAAATCAAAGGAACGAAACTAAATTAATATATATTAAAGATAGGGGTTTTTTTTTTTTGTTTCATATAAAATATATAAGAAATTTTGGTTTTTTTTATCTTAATATCAAAAATCTTATTAATTTTCATTAAAATATCATTTTCAAAATATCAGTTTTTCAAAAATTCTTATTAATATTTAAGTTTCACTTATTACTTGATAAGAAATAATATACATTAAGACATTTATGTTAAATAATAGCTTTTAAATGTTTATTATCGTGAAAACAAACAATTAAATACTTATAATCAATCATCAACACAAAGTAAATATAAACAAATATATTATTAATGTTTACACTTAATTGTTAGAGGTGTAATTGTAATTTATAAAGAGTTTAGTTGTCATTTTTTTTAATAAGGGGTAATTGATACAGTTTTGGTTCCGGTTCCAAATCAAAGGAACGACCAGTTCTAATTCCAGCTCTTTTGATTTTGGGGGTAGCCAGACCCCCCCTGATATGATGGATGATAGGATTGAATTGGACGATGTTCTGTAAATACTTAGTTAATTTAATATATTAACTATTTTTTTATTTTTCAATTGCGAGAGGAAAAGGATATTCAAATAGAGTATTAACCATTCAAAAAAAAAAAAAAAAAAAAGAACGAATAAATCTTGTAAGATCCCCTAAAAATTATTTGATTCTTCCAAAGACAAGTATTTATTCATCTGCCTTTCATGTTTCTGAGGAATGTCCACACTTAAAATTCAATCTAATGCTACCTTGTTTGTTCCATATAAAAATTAAGTATCGAATTTCATGCTATAATCAAACCAAATTTCTAAGTAATTTAGGTAAACTTTACTCAAAAAAAAATAAAAAATAAAAATAAAAATAAAAAAAATAAAAAAAATTACAAAATATCAACTTAGCAACATAAACTGCCTCATGTATCATCTCACTCTAATCATACTAGATAAGGAGATAACAATATAAAGGATACCATGCATTCTCGATCCGATTATTTTACCAAATCCATTTTATTCATTACAGTTTTACACAAAACACAAACTTGAGTTAAAATAAATCAATCAGCAAAAATAATTACCTTAGAATGCGGTCGCATTTAGTTTAGGATTGCAATCGTCTTCTGCATCCATGAAACTCAAAATAGTAAAATTCTAAAGAAGTTACACCAAAACTCAACTGGAAAATCACAGTATTAAGATAGCATCATGAGAAACATCCTAGCTCAACATCTAAATAATTACTATTGACAACTGCTTATAGCTAGATTATACAAGACTAATAATACTAGTACAATAATGTTGTGTTAAACTTGGGCCATCCTTAGCATCTATCTGCAAACACAGTCGGATATATAGAGGAACAGAAAAATGAAAAACTGGCATTGGAAGTGTTTGCTAACCTGAAAAGAATACGTTCACAGGTATATACAATTTCTTTCAAGTCTTCAAATGCAGAGAATATGCATAGCAATGGATACAGTTCGTCAAACACTCAGAGAATAGAGTTGTAAAATTCAGTATTATGTACATAATCACAATTCTTTGCGGCATGATTGAATAAAATACTTTATATCATACATTAAGCCCCACTCCGTGCCGAAAATGAGCTCAACCAAGGGGTCTTATGAAATCCTTCATAACCTCATACTATTCCTATTATATCATACATTAAGCCCCACTCTGCGTTGAAAAATGAGGTGCTCGACCAAGGGGTATTATAAAATCCTTCATAACCTCATACTCTTCCAAAGTTATTTTAGCACCGTCCAACACCTACTCACCAACAACACAAACAGTCAGTATCAAAAGATTTCATAATTATCACCACATAACCAAATTCAATTACTCTCCACTATATATATATATATATATATATAAAGAAGTTAATTTTACATCCTAGTCTTGGTTCTTAATAACTTAAGCTACCAAGGACATTCAATTTCAAGATCCTCTGTATCTTTTACATAAGTTCATTATTCCTATTTTCATAAACTGCACTTTTTCTTTTGCTAGGTAACAAAAGAAGTGTATAAATTCCCAAAAAACATATACATGTATGAAGATATGCTGACCACAAAAATAACGAGCTGCCCTAGAAAGCCAGAAAGGGTTATAAACTAAAGTAAGATGCTGACCCAACATAATGTTGGCAGTGTGCCACATGCTATAAATGATATAGCTTAATGTTACATAAAGAAAAAGGTCTCACAATCAATCTTTGATTTCACAACATCATAATTCATCCTCCCAATACCATCTAGAATATAACCCAAAAAAAAAATTATTTTCAAGTAAAACATCTTCAAATAAAATAAATATCCGAATGTGGGGTCTCACCTTGCGAAGCAGCATTGTCCGATTAGTCATGTGTGGTGTAAGAGTAGGAATCCGATAGACGGAAAGAGCATCAATGAAGAGAAGAGAAATCACTTGCCATTGTTTCGCTCTGAATGCTGGAAGTGCCTCAACAAAAGACATTGTTTCCAACAAAAGCCCCTGCATAACAAGTTCTTAGTAGTAGTTTAATCAATAATCACCATAGTATTCATCAACCAAATCAATTCGATAACTAGAAATTTCTTTCATAAAACATAATCAGATAAATGTAATGCTACTCCATGTCCATAACCATTATGGCTAGTACAGTGTCCTTCCCCAGAATATAAAATGAGAATTACTAGTCTTACAAAGACTCCTACAAAGAGTCTTTGTACAAAGTGACATGGCATCTGATGCGGCAAGCCACATCACCACTTTCCACATCAACATTTTCTTAAATATTTAATATTTATTAATTGTATTAATTAAAATACTTTAATTAATCCAAATTCGAAAAAAAAAAAAAAAAAAATTGATTCTATTAAATAAAAAATCCCCAATTTCTATTATTTAAACCCTACCCTTCCATAGTTCTTTTTCATCCTTTGTCTTCTTCCTCTCTCCTTCTCTTCTCCTCCTCTTCCTTTCTTATTTGTTTTTTTTTTCCCTCTCCTCTTCCGCCTGTCTTCTCCATCTCCTCCTTATTTCTCATTCTCTTTCTCCATCTTCCTCCAATTGCACTTGGGCAGTGGCTGAATCTTGCCACCACTGCCCAGATCTGATGTTTCGCTACCACGGCCCAGATCTGGTGTTTGGCTCAATTTTTTTATTTCTTCAGTTTATTATTAATTTTTGTTAAGAAATTGGATTAGGTGAATTTGGAGATTGAAGGCTTGTAATTAATTATGTTTTATAATGTATTTTTGATTGACAGTAAGAAAAAAAGAGAACAGAAGAAAAAACTAAAATTTCAGGACGAGGAAGACAAGGGATTGGTGGTTGGCCACACCTTGGCCTCGAGTGGCCAGGTGGCTGGCGAAACCGTGGCCACATGCAGTGTGGCTGGTACTGTCATGGGAAGTTGGCAGTGTTGCGGGAGGCAAGGGATTGGTGGTTGGCTGCACTTTGGCAGTGCCTTGTGAATAGTGGCAGTGCCTTGTGAATAGTGGCAGTGCGGTTGTGAATAGTGGCAGTGCGGTTGTGAGTGGTGGTGGAAGAGGATAGACGGCAGTGATGCGGTTGAGATTGGGGAAAAAACAAATAAAAAAGGAAGAGGAGGAGAAGAGAAGAAGGAAAGAGGAGGAAGATGAAGGAGGAGAACGGATTTTTTATTTAATATAAGCATTTTTTTTTTTTCTGAACTTAGGTTAACCGAAATATTTTAATTAATATAATTAATTAAGTATTAAATATTTAATAAAATACTGATGTGGCTTGCCACGTCACTTTGTGCAAAGACTCTTTGTAAGACTAACATTTCTCATATAAAATCATTGACAAACAGAGTTAACTAAAATCAAGATATATATGAAATCAGAAATTAAAAAACAATTCTGATGAATTTGGGATCTGTTTAAACACTAACACAAATGACAACAAGAGAGTAAATCAATTATAAGAAGTTCACCATAGTGGACACAACCAAATTCATCATCCTAGTAGTATGACACTCTCTTAAGATAACTAAGGATAGAAATCAAAATATACAATGCATCAAGCAAGCTAAAAAAATTACAAATTAGAATAACAACAACAGAATATAAACAGAACATTTTTCGTTTCTTTATACCCAAATGAGTATTATGATCCACACAAACTTTTGAATTCGTTAACCATCCTATTGAATTAAAACAAGAGGTTCAAAAATCATACCACTTCCTTTTCAATAACAGATATTGGTATCGGCAGCCTGAGATCAGCAACAAGTCCAGGTAAAGCCCGAGACAGACAAGCAGCAAGAGTTTGCTTGATTTCAGAAGAGCGACTGTCTCCCAAAACAATCTTTCGAGGATACTCCCTTCCATTAACTGATAGATACTCTTCATGGAAACTTTCATCCCTCCCATAAATATAAGCCAAAGAAGATGATGTTATCCATGCAACGATTGCCATCCACATTGTTGCAAAAGGCGACAACTAAGAAAAAAGAATAGAACCATAAAAAATATAATTTATAGAGAGAGAACACAACTGATAGTTTTAATTTGAACGAGACACTTGATGTTCTCCAATGCAAAGATTGCCATCCACATTATTGCAAAAAGTGATTAACTCAAAACAAGTAATACAACCAAATTAAAAATAGAAGAGAGAAAATAATGATAGTGTTAATTTGACTGAGGCACTTACACTTAAACTGAAACCCTCAGGTGGAGTATCATACCACGAATCCTCAGGGTCAAAGAATTCAGATCGTTGAATCCCAGGCTTACTGGGCCATTTTAAAGGAGCTTCTTTGGGTTCAAGCAAATTAGCATCCTCCACCTGTTTCTCTCCAACTACATCATCTGGACGTGGTAATATAATAATTCCAGCTTCGGACACTGGTATAAAAATTTCGAGTGAATAAGGTGAACAAAAAAAGCTTAGCAAAATGGTCAAATTATTTATACCAAAACAACTTAACAAAATACTTCCACTCTACAATGGCCTACCGGCATCAGCAGCATCAGAATCTCCAGTAGCCACAACTTCAGCTGCCTGGCTCAATGCCATTGCACAGGCTTCAGCTGATGCAAAGCGCAATGTATCATTATCACCATCACCCATTTCTTCTCTAAATTCACAAAGGTTTCCACTGCCTAAACTATCATTTTTCTCATCAGCCCAACTGACAGAGTGGCCAAGTTTCTTTGAACTTGAAGATTTAAGAGATGATTTGGGCATTCCTGCACGTAATATAGGTTCTTTCTCTGCAGGATAGCCATTTTCTTGTTCAAGAGAAGTCATCCTAGAACCACTCTGGAAAGGAGCTGAAGTGGAAGGCACATCTTGAACACCAAGCTCGTTTTTTGCAATTTGACTCTTCTCACTTGATTTCGTCATAATTGTATCAGAACCTTCTTTTCTGGAATGTAAAGATCCCAATGTGGCACATTGAGCCTCCAAGTTTTTACTACCCTCTGTTGTTTTTAAATCTTCATACTTCAATTTGGATGTCATACCAGTTGAACCAGAAGGTACTTTCGAAATGCTATATTCATCATTCATGATTATGGTACTCATGAAATTCATATCACTAAAAATTGTATCCTTTTTACTAGTCTGCTGATTAGTCTTAGCGTTAACCCCTGCAATAAAAAATCACAGCAAACTCAAATTTCATGGACAACTAAATTTATCTAAAGGAAAATTTTCATTAATTTCCATCTATAAACAGACCCTGAATTTTTAAAAATAAGCAAATGTTTTTCCTAAAATTTTAAAGATCTTTACCTTCCATAAAGTTTCAAATGCTTGGGAAAATTTTCATTGATCTTACCTACGGTTTGGCTAACATAAAGGTAATGTAAATTTTATTAGGTTCCAAAATTCATAAAAACCTTCTTGTTCTGAAAAATTGATCATAAAACACTTCTAAATATTTAGAAATCACCCATTAGTTTCATAAAATCTATCATAAACCTCCCTGTAAGACACATCTTCACCCATTTTTCAAACTAGCCAAATCCACTTGTACTCACTACACCTCAACTTAAGTTCACCTCTTCCCCAAACCATAGTAAGGAATTTAAGGCAAACCTCATTAAGTTCAACAAAAACTTTCCCTTTTTTTCAAGTGTAAGTATAGCTGAGCAAGCAACCCTATACAGTGTTAGGATCCCACATTGGAAGGGAAAAGGGTGGGCATGTGGGTTATAAAGGGCTTGGGCACCCTCCCTTAGCAAGCCGATTTTCCAAGGAAGGTTCTACCCAAGCCCACAAAAGGCCCACTACCCAGCCTAATTGTTTGAGTTGTTAGATGGGTATCTATCATACAGTAAGAAAGCCTATAGCACTTACTTGATTCTCACCATTCAAAATAAATTTCACGATACAGTATCATACCTGGAATTTGACTGATCAAATGCAAGCAGTATATGCCTTTCAAGTAATCCTAAACCTTAAAAAGCCTGTAACACCCATGAATTTTTTGAAAAGATTTAGCACTCTTGCCGGAGACACCTGGTTCACTATGTAAACTTCTATTCTGATTTTCACTAATACTTGGTGTTTCCTTACCAAAAAAAAAAGGCTATAACACTTGCTTGATTTAACATTCAAGAAAATAAATGTCATGGTATACAAAAATAAATTTGTTTCAATAACAATTCATCTCCATCTATTAGTCCCAAGATACCCATATACAATATCATAGCATCTTCTGAATGCTAACATAACAATTAACATCAAGCAAGAATATTGCATACCTTTGTTTTTCTCAACAGAAGACTTGCTCTTCACCTTATCCTCACCTATTTCCCAATCCAAGGACACACTGAAATTAGGCCAAACCTCATCGAGTTTAACCAAAAGCTAACACTGACCAGTAAATATAATATAATAATTCCATAGATGAAGGCACATCACCTAGGGGATAAAACTCAAGAATGTGCAACAGTACTTTAGTAATCCTAGTAACTAAACAAAGCCCATATCACTTCCTTCATCATTAATTCATGAATAGCTAAAATAATATTTAACAAGAATTAACTATTAAGTAAAGAAAATTACTAACATGTAAACGATAAGTTAACATGACAAGTGAGACTGAAATGCCACATAAGATGAATCACTCAGAACAAACACTAAAAGTATGCAACATTACACTTTCAAGTAACTCTAGTCACTAAACACAACCTACATCACTTTAACAATTTACAAGAAGCAAGTAAGCAAAATCATTATAACACAAACATGTAAACCACAAGCGTACATAACAAGTCATAACGAAATGCCAACACAAGTTAAGAAATCACTCAAGATAAACACTCAAAATATGCAACATTACACTTCCAAAGTAATACTAATCACTAAACAAAGCCTACGCTTTATCACTATCTCATCAAATGCTAACATAAAATAAAAGTTAACAAGCAAGTAAACTCGAAATGTGCAACATTATAATTTCAAAATAACCCCAATCACTAAAAAAGCATAAAACAATTAACATAACAATGAACATGAATCAACTAAACTAAATGACTACCTTCTTTCTTCTCACCCTTCAACTGCGTCTTCACCTTATATTTAGCCTTCGGAACAAACCCTTCAATGGCATCCGAAGAGCCAGCTCCAACTTCCCCAACCACCCCTTCCCCCCTCTCCTTCTCTCTGATCTCCAACTCCCCAAACCTCCTGACCATCTCACTCTCCACACTACTCTCCGCGCCGACAACCTTCAAAACCTCTTCAATCCTCCTCTCATCCACAACCCTAACCCTCTCCTCCCCCAAACCCCCCCAAAACGCCTTGCTATTCACCAGACAACTCGTGGAGCAGAACAAGTACACCTCCTGGAGATCGTACACTTTGTGCTCCTTCAGCGAGATACGGTACCGCCCTTTGTGTTGTCGAGAATCCGACGGCGGCAGAGGGTTCGAGCAGAGAGGGTAGCCGCAAAGGTTCGCGATGGTTCGTTCCGTTACGACGTCATTGTAGTCGCTCTTGGAAAGGAGCGAACCGGCGGTGTAGAGCTGATGCTCTGTGGAGACTCCATCGAGTAACGAGAGTTGGAGTTTGTGTACGGCGTCGTTTAGGCGCTTCGCCATGGCTTGAAACGGTGAGTTTGAGTTGGAGAATTGCTGAATTGGGGTTTATCCCAAGTTTTGAGTAGTATATAGAATTGAAGCACAGATAGAACGTCGTCGATTCGGCCAAATTTGATTAGCTTGATTCGCTTCACGGCCGTAGCGAGGAGCGACGAAGAAGAGATGGAAGCTTGAGTTCTGATGTTAGAGATGTCGAGTGAAAGGGGTTTCATATTTATAGTTAAGGGACTATTTTGACACTTTTGAAAATCATTGTCTTTTATGTGAGAAAGAGAGAATATCATGAATACCCCTAATATTTTCAAATTTATCATTTGGATGACAACTTTCACGCTTTAAATAAAAGATTTTAAAAAAAAATGAACCCTCAAAATTCGGAAGTTATCATTCATATCCCTTTACCCTGATTCCGTTATCTTGCCCTTAAAGAAATGCCAATTTTGTGCCTTAACCTTGGATGGGTATAAAGAATGTATATTTGAGAACCTTTTAACTACCGCATCAAATAATTTATAATGAAAACCAAATTAGTTAATTTTCCCACCCAAATAATGATAATGGCTTAATGACACTTTTTCATCTATACTCTTTTAAAATATCATTTATTATCCAAATTTATATTCCGATGACGAATAGAGAGCAAACTCAATCTAGACTGCTGGGGCTTTTGGAGAGGGGAGACTGATGAATCTTTTAGTGGTGAAATATTGGATTTTGGTGGTTAGCATTAATAGAAATTTGACTTGAAATAGGTTACTATGCAAACCATAATCGCTCGATTGTTGGCAATTGGCAAGGTTGGAAAGAGTAGGATTTGAGGGGTTTTGGTGGGTGATGATCGAAGAAGAGAATGGTGGTGGTGTGGGGTCACAACGATACCAGAATCGAAAATGAAATATAAATTTAGACAATAAAATGATATTTTAAAAGTTTATGATTGGAAAAATATTATTGAGCTATTATTTTGGGTGGGAAAAAGTCGTTTTCTCAAACCAAATGCATATAAAACACATTCAGTACATTTGTATAAATTTTGAAGGGAATGGGGTTGTAGGGAAATTTTCACGTGTAAACCTAACTTGAATTATTCTTGTATATTAGAAAGCTCCTTTGCTTTTTTCTAACCAAAGGCCAAAGCAACAACTTTTCCATAAAAGCTCCATCTCTACTCCAATAATTGCCTCTTCCATAAGTTTAACTGGAATAAGCCCTACCAAACGGGCACTTATTGTTATAAAATCAAAACTATTAGGGACTAAAAGTAATTAACCCTTAAAATAAAACCTTATTTTTTTTTTTCAACCCAATCATCTTCTCCTTACGATGCTCTGCTTCTTTTCATCTTCCTCTTCCATTAATCCATCCATCATCTTCATCTTCTTCCTCCTCAGTTCTCTCTCAAATCTTCACTTTCTTTAGAATCTTTACTTTGATCCATCTTTTTACGCTTACAACTTCCCACATTTTTTAATCTAAGGATCACGATTCAGAGACGTTTATTTAAGGAAGCAGAGGTGAGTTTTTTTTTTTTTTTTTTTACTTTTTCCTTTTTTTTTTTATGTTAAATTTTGGATTGGATTTGCTATTGGTTTTTGGGATTGGCGGCTTTGTTTGATCATCTGGATTCAATCTGTATAAATTGTATAGTTTTTTTATCAATTACTCTGATTGTTTCCTCAGAAACTGAAGGAAAAATTTAAAATATAAAACAAAATTCTATCAATCGAAGCTAATATCAATATTATACTTCGTTGAATTGAGTTGTAGTCAATGATGAGGTCTATAACATTTAAATCTTAATACATTTAAGTAGAAAATGTAATAAAAGAAATTGATTGTTTGATGTATTGATGATTGGGTAAGTATGAAGAAGGTTGAGAACTTGAGATTGATTGCTGAGCTTGGAAATTTATAAAATGTGACTCTGGTTATGTTTGGTAACCAATAAAGTTGCGCCAAACCAAGCTTAATTTTAATTAAAGAGGTAAAGAAGAAGCTTATGGTTTGTTAATTCTTATAGGTTATGTTGAGTTTTTGAGGATAAAGTGTTTTGAATTGTTTCCAATGGCTAATGTGAAACCTGCAATTACCAAGCCTTCGGGGAATGCCAATCCCTATGCTATCAATTTGGATAACTTCAGTAAGCGGCTGAAGATGTTGTATTCGCATTGGAATCAATTTGGTTCTGATATGTGGGGTGATTGTAGTGCTATTGCTGTAGCGACTCCTCCGGTTTCGGAGGATTTGCGGTATTTGAAATCCTCGGCGTTGAATATTTGGTTGGTTGGTTATGAGTTCCCGGAGACGATTATGGTTTTCCTGAAGAAGCAGATCCATCTCTTGTGTAGCCAGAAAAAGGCTTCCTTGCTTGAAGTTGTTAAAAAGTCTGCCAAAGAGGCTGTAGGTGTTGAAGTTGTGATGCATGTGAAGGCGAAAAATGAAGATGGAACTGGTTTGATGGATAAAATTTTTGGTGCTATTAATGATCAGCTGAAATCTGGTGGTCGCGATGCTCCTGTTGTGGGACATATTTCAAGAGAGGCTCCTGAAGGGAAGCTTTTGGAGACTTGGGATGAAAAATTGAAGAATGCGAGTTTTGAGTTCTCTGATGTAACGAATGGATTCGCAGACTTGTTTGCTGTAAAAGATGATACTGAGCTTACGAATATCAAGAAAGCTGCTTTCTTGAGCTCATCCGTGATGAAGCAATTTGTGGTCCCGAAGCTTGAAAAGGTCATTGATGAGGAGAAGAAGATATCTCATTCCACATTAATGGATGACACAGAGAAGGCCATTTTGGAACCTTCAAGGATTAAGGTCAAGTTGAAGGCCGAGAATGTTGATATTTGCTACCCTCCAATTTTTCAGAGTGGAGGAGAGTTTGACCTGAAACCAAGCGCGTCGAGCAATGATGAGAACCTATACTATGACTCTACTAGTGTGATCATATGTGCAATTGGATCACGATACAACAGCTACTGCTCTAATGTTGCTCGAACTTTTCTGATTGATGCCAATGCCATGCAGAGCAAGGCTTATGAGGTCCTCCTTAAGGCCCACGAAGCAGCGATTGGTGCTTTAAAATCTGGGAACAAGGTCAGTGCTGTGTATTCAGCAGCAGTTTCAGTAGTTGAGAAGGATGCTCCTGAATTGGCTGCAAACTTGACAAGAACTGCAGGAACTGGAATCGGTCTTGAGTTTCGTGAATCGGGGCTTAGCCTTAATGCCAAGAATGACAGGGTTTTGAAACAAGGAATGGTTTTCAATGTTTCTCTTGGTTTTCAAAACTTGCAGACAGAGACCAAGAACCCAAAGACAAAAAAATTTTCAGTGTTGCTTGCAGATACTGTTATTGTTGGTCAAAAGGCACCAGATGTTATCACTGCAAAAAGTTCTAAAGCTGTGAAGGATGTGGCATATTCGTTCAATGAGGATGATGAAGAAGAGGAACGACCAAAAGTCAAAACCGAGGATAAAGGTGGTGAGCCCATTTTGTCTAAGGCAACTCTGAGGTCAGACCATCAGGAAATGTCAAAGGAAGAGCTTCGAAGGCAGCACCAGGCTGAACTTGCCCGACAAAAAAATGAAGAAACTGCTAGGAGGCTTGCTGGTGGTGGTTCTGGGGCATCAGATAATCGTGGTGCTGTGAAAACTATTGGTGATTTGGTTGCATATAAGAATGTAAATGATCTGACCCCTCCAAGAGATTTAATGATCCTAGTTGACCAGAGGAATGAAGCAATCCTTTTGCCAGTTTATGGTACCATGGTTCCTTTCCATGTGGCCACCGTGAAGAGTGTGTCCAGCCAACAGGACAGTAACCGGTCATGCTACATCCGTATAATTTTTAATGTACCTGGTACTCCTTTTAGTCCTCATGACTCAAACACATTAAAGTTTCAAGGATCAATTTATTTGAAGGAAATTTCATTTCGTTCCAAGGACTCGAGGCATATAAGTGAGGTGGTACAACAGATTAAGACACTCCGCAGACAGGTCACTTCCAGGGAGTCTGAAAGAGCTGAGAGGGCAACTTTAGTTACTCAGGAAAAGCTTCAACTATCATCAGCCAAATTCAAGCCAATAAAATTGTATGATTTATGGATTCGTCCACCTTTTGGTGGTAGGGGAAGAAAGTTAACAGGTTCCCTCGAAGCACACACAAACGGATTTCGATATTCAACCTCAAGGCCTGATGAACGTGTTGACATAATGTTTGGTAACATCAAGCATGCATTCTTCCAGCCAGCAGAGAGGGAAATGATCACACTCCTCCACTTTCATTTGCATAACCACATAATGGTGGGAAACAAAAAAACCAAGGATGTGCAGTTTTATATTGAGGTGATGGATGTAGTTCAGACTCTGGGAGGTGGAAAGAGATCGGCCTACGACCCTGATGAGATTGAAGAAGAACAGCGTGAGAAAGACCGGAAGAATAAAATTAACATGGACTTCCAGAACTTTGTGAACCGGGTGAACGATATGTGGGGTCAACCTCAATTTAAAGCATTTGACCTCGAGTTTGATCAGCCTTTGAGAGAGCTTGGCTTCCATGGGGTTCCCCACAAAGCCTCGGCTTTCATTGTCCCGACATCAACCTGCCTTGTTGAGCTAATAGAAACTCCTTTTGTGGTGATCACCCTAAGTGAGATTGAGATAGTGAACCTGGAGAGAGTTGGTCTCGGACAGAAGAATTTTGATATGACTATAGTGTTTAAGGACTTCAAGCGTGATGTACTTCGGATTGATTCTATACCATCCTCATCATTAGACGGCATCAAGGAGTGGCTTGACACGACAGACCTCAAGTATTATGAGAGCAGATTAAATCTAAACTGGCGGCCTATACTGAAAACAATAACTGAAGATCCGGAAAAGTTCATTGAGGACGGAGGATGGGAATTTCTAAACATGGAAGCCAGTGACTCAGATTCTGAGAACTCACAAGAATCAGATCAAGGTTATGAGCCTTCAGACGTGCAGTCTGAGTCAGTATCAGATGAGGAAGATGATGACAGCGAGTCATTAGTGGAGTCGGAGGATGATGAGGAAGAGGATGATGATGAAGACTCAGAGGAGGACAAAGGAAAAACATGGGAAGAGTTGGAGAGGGAAGCCACCTATGCAGACCGGGAAAAAGGGGACGACTCAGACAGTGAGGAAGAGCGAAAGC